ACAGGAACTTCTGGATCCTGCGGCTGCCCCCAGGCTCCCGGGGAGAGATCCCCAAGGTACTGGTGTCCAGCTTGGCCCCTGGAAGGGGCTCTGGAAAAGGGTGGGAAGTGCTGGAGCAGGTGTAGCTGTGACACCTGGGGGTCATGTCATAGGATCATGAGATGGTTTGGGTGGGAAGAGACCTTGGAGACCATCCAGGCCCCCCCTGCCACAGGCAGGGACACCTCCCAGCAGCCCAGGCTGCTCCAAGCCCCATCCAACCTGCCCTTCAACACCCCCAGGGATGGGGCAGCCACAGCTTCCCTGGGCAACCTGGGCCAGGCTCTCCCCACCCTCACAGCACAGAATTTCTCCCTCACATCTCAGCTCCAGCTCCCTCTGCCAGCTGGAAACCCTTCCCCCTGCTCCCATCCCTCCCTGCCCTTGTCCCAAGTCCCTCCCCAGCTTTCCTGGAGCCCCTTCAGGCCCTGGAAGGTGCTCTAAGGTCTCCCTGGAGCCTTCTCCTCTCCAGGCTGAACACCCCAGCTCTCTTGGCTGCTCCCCAGCCCTGACCTGACCAGGCTTTGCTCTGTGCCTGCAGCAGCCCAAGCCGAGCACTCGCTGCTCACCCCTGGTTCCCAGTTAAGCAGCTGAAGCCACCCACAGGTCCCCTTTGTGGTTGCAGGTGCCGGTGACGTTTGATGACATCTCCGTGTACTTCAACGAGCAGGAGTGGGAGCGGCTGGAGCGCTGGCAGAAGGAGCTGTACAGGGCTGTGATGAGGGGCAACTACGAGACCCTCATCTCCCTGGGTAAGGCACGTGGCACGAGGATGTCTTCTTTTGCAAAAGCTTCCCAAGGACTAGGGAACCAGATCCCAGGCTCAGGGAACCATCGAGATCTTCCAGTGCAGCTCAGGAGTTATCTGGGGGAAGGTCTGAGAACTGCACCTGGGGCTGGTTCCTGTTGGAAAGTGACAGGGACATCTGGTCCCCCTTGGGAAGAGCTGACCTGGTCACCCTCCATCTGCCCGAGGGCTCCCAATGTGTTCCTGGGTGAGGATCAGGGTGGGGAGAGCCTGGCCCAGGTTGCCCAGGGAAGCTGTGGCTGCCCCATCCCTGGCAGTGCTGAAGGGCAGGTTGGATGGGGCTTGGAGCAGCCTGGGCTGCTGGGAGGTGTCCCTGCCCATGCAGGGGTGGGACAGGGCGGACTTCACAGTCTCTTCCCACACAAACCAGTCTGGGGTTCTATAATTCTACAATTTGGGCTCTAAGAAATCCTCCTCCCCCAGAAGCTGATCCCTGGACGTGTCCCATCACCTACTGCTCCCTGCAGCTCCTGCAGTTTGAGGCTTCACTTTTCTCAGGAATATTCCCTGGAACAGAGCAGACCTGTTCCCCTCTGCTCCATCAGACACAGACGTTGCTCCAGGGTGGGAAGTTCTGTCCCCACAGCAGCAGGGAGGGGAACGACCCTGCCAGTTGGTGCTAAAGCTGAAACGGGAGGAAAATGTTAAAAACAGAGACTTCCCTTCTCCTTTGAGAGTTTTGGTTCATGTTCTGGGGATGAAAGGGTCCCCCTGGGGGTGTGACACAGTGGAGGTGCAGGCAGGTGCTGATGGAACCCACTGTTCTCTGTCCCCTGCGCAGACTACGCCGTGTCCAAGCCTGACATCCTCTCCAAGATGGAGAGGGATGAAGATCTTTGGTTTAAAGAGGGGCAGGAGCTCCCCCAGACACGTTTGGGAGACAGTCAGGAGCTCCCCCAGGAACCAGAAGAGATGGACCATGTGGAAGAGGCTTTGGAGGAAGATGAAGTCCCCATGGACACCAACATGGGTAAGTGAGGTGGGTCCAGGAGGAGGTGGCAGTTCCCCTCCCAGCTTTCTCAGGAGATCCCCCAGCAGGGTCTTCATTAGGAATCAACTGCTCTGAGGTTCCATGGAGTTCCTTGGATCATTCTTCCAAGAGGAATGTTTGTGCTTGGTCAGTTGAATCCCGTGGAGAAAACCAGGCAAAGCCAGTCAGGAGGGGCTGGGCTGAGGTCTGGAGCAGTGGGACAGACCTGACATCCCCTCCAGTCCTGTCTTCTGGGAATGCTTCCTCACCTGACAGCATGTGTGAGGTTCCTGCTCACCTTGGGGAGCCAGGAGACGTGGTGGGAAGTGAGGAACCTGGGGCCCTGTGGTGAGGGGAGGCAGCTGGAGCTGGGGGAGCAGAGTGGGCAGGAGAGCCCCAGGCAGGGAGGGGTGGGAAAAGCTTCTGTGCAGAGTAGAGGAAGAGGCTGGGCAGGAGGTGCTGGAGAGAGACAGACCCTGAGGGAGCCAGGAGAGGAAAGGTGTGGGCAGGGCTGTGATCCAGAGCTCCTTCCTGCAGGACAGGGGTGCTGGGGTTCAGGAAGCCCCAGGAGGGGCAGGGTGGGCTCTGTCCTGAGGGAGCGTCACCCAGGAACCATCCTGGCCCCACAGGGTACCTGAAACTTCTTCACTGGGAGGGTGACAGAGCCCTGGGACAGGCTGCCCTGAGAGCTGGTGGAGCCTCCTTCCCTGGAGACATTCCAAGCCCACCTGGGTTCCTGTGGGATCTGCTGGAGGTGACCCTGCTCTGGCAAGGTCTGGATGATCTCCAGAGGTCCCTGCCAACCCCACCACTCTGGGGCTCTGTGTCTGGGGCTCTGTCAAGGGCTCCCAGGAAGAGATGTCACCCAGAGGGGCTGCCCCTCCCCTGTGAGGTTTTAGTGCAGGTTCTGTTGCTCAGATCTCTCTCCCAGCTCTGCTCGTGGCTGGATCCTGCCCTGGGCCACACGAGCAGCTCCATGTTTCCCGTTGGACCACAGATGTGTCCCCATGCTGGGGCTGGGGACAGCAGGGTCACCCTGAGAGGGGGACAGAATAAAGGTGCAGGCAGGTGCTAACGAAACCCACTCTCCTCTGCTCTGTCCCCTGAGCAGACCACGACGTGTCCAAGCCTGGTGTCCCAACCCAGAAGAGCGATGAAGAGCTCTGCCTCAGAGAGGGGCAGGAGCCCCCACAGAAAGATGTGTCAGACAGTCAGGAACCCCCTCAGACAGGTGTCCCAGAGGGCCAGAAGGCCTCTCAGGTAGGTGTCCTGGATGGTCAGAAGCCCCCTCAGACAGGTGTCCCAGATGATCAGGAACCCCCTCAGGCAAGTGTCCCAGATGGTCAGAAGTCCCCTCGGACAGACGTCCGGGATGGTCAGGAACCTCCTCAGACAGGTGTCCCAGATGGTCAGAAGTCCCCTCAGACAGGTGTCCCAGATGGTCAGAAGTCCCCTCGGACAGATGTCCAGGATGGTCAGGAACCTCCTCAGACAGGTGTCCCAGATGGTCAAAAGTCACCTCAGACAGGTGTCCCAAATGGTCAGAAGTCCCCTCGGACAGACATCCAGGATGGTCAGGAACCCCCTCAGGCAGGTGTCCAGGATAGTCAGAAGCTCCCTCAGACACCAGAAGAGACAGACCAGAAGAAATCAGCTCTGGGAGAAGATGAAGCCCCCACAGCAGCTGGCAGAGGTGAGTCAGGTGGGTGCCAGGAGGACTCGCTGCCCTGGGTCTCTCTGGTCTCCTCACAGTGTCCCTGGGAGCAGGCACAGCAGCTCACCCTGCTCAGGGGAGCGTGGCCAGGGAGGTGCTGCCAGGGGAGATGGGAGGGGTTGGAGGGCCTGGTGTGAATGCTGCCCGTGGCCTGGCTGTGGAGGGTTGGGGAGGAATGAGGTTGCTCTGCAGAGGTGACAGCAGCTGGGACATCAAAATGACACCTCACGTGCTTTCCATAGACGTAGAGAAGTGTTTGGGTTGGAAAAGCACTTTAAGATCATGGAGTCCAACCGTGGCACTGCCAAGGCCACCCCTGCCCCACATCCCTCAGCACCATCTCTAGGCCTTGGAAACCCCTCCAGGGATGGGGTTTCCTGACAACCCTTTCCAGCCAGGAATTGTTCCCAAGAGCCAATCTGAACCTCCCCTGGCACAACTTGAGGCTGTTTCCTCTCATCCTGTTGCTTGTTCCCTGGAGCAACACGTGACTTCTCGAGCTGCAGGCTTCTCTGGCTCTTCCCTGTGCCCCCAGCTCATCCCTCACACCAGAGCAGGAAGCTGTGAGCTCTCCACAGCTGTTTACAGCTGCTCCTCTCTTCTCTGCAAACAGCCCTTCCCAGCCTGGTGAAGGACATCACGTCCCTGAAGGCACAGGAAGAGAAGCTGTGCAGGGAGGATCAGCCTGGGACAGAGATGGAAGCGGATTCGGAAGAGTCCGGCACAGGTGAGGAGCCACATGCAGGGAACAAGTGTGTCCAGCAGGAAGGAAGAAGCTCCCAGCTCGGTAACATATTCAAAATGGGGAGGGAGAAGAAAGTTTCAAGTTTATCAGCAGGCATGGGAGGGAGCTGCTGTTGGGCCTGGAAGTGCAGGGGCTGGAGCACAAGTGTGAGCAGGAGCAGCTGAGGGAGCTGGGGGTGTCCAGCCTGGAGCAAAGGAGGCTGAGGGGAGACCTGCTGGCTCTGCAGCTGCCTGAGAGGAGGTTGGAGCCAGGGGGGTCGGGCTCTGCTCCCCAGGAAGGAGATTTAACCCCAGCCTGAGCTGCTTGTGGGAGGGTGGGTGAGCAAGGCCTGCATGGTTCCCTTTCAGAGGAAGGCTGCTCGCTGGAGAACGAAGCGGCGTGTGAAGGAGCTTCTGAAAACATCCAGGTGAAGAAGGAAGAGGAGCAAGAGGTCTCTGCACCTTCTCCCAGCTCAGACCTCCAGAAATGCCCCAAAAATGAGAAAGCCAAGAGCAAGAAGAAGCCCAACAGGTGCGAGAGCAGCAACCTGCTGATGGGGAACTGCCGGCGGGGCTACGTGCGGGAGTGGTCCCACCCCTGCACCGAGTGCGGGAAGCGCTTCCGCCTCAAGATCAACCTGATCATCCACCAGCGCAGCCACGCCAAGGAGGGGCCCTACGAGTGCGGCGTCTGCGAGATCAGCTTCGCCGACAAGCGCCATCTGGACCTTCACCAGAGCATCCACATCAAGGACAGGGCCTTTGGAGCCAAGGTCTGGGGGAACGTCCACCCGGAGCTGCGGATCCGGCCGAGGAGGAAGTTTTGCGGAACGCTCTACGGGGGTGGGCACAGCCTGGGCACTGGGACGTGTGCTGGGGGGTCCTTGCTGGGCCAGCACAAGGAGGAGCCGGACAGAGGGAGCCTGCAGAGCTCCAGGCCCTCTTGGAAATGCACCTTCTGCAAAAAGACACTCTCCTGCAGCACCTCCCTGCAGCGGCACCTGCAGACCCACATGCAGAACAGGCCCTACTGCTGCAGCACCTGCAACAAGGGCTTCACCCGCAGCACTCACCTCGTGCGCCACGAGAAGATCCACGAGCGCCAGAGAGCCCAGGCTGCCCAGCTCCAGCACCAGGCACCCGGGTCCCCGGGGACCCCTGGGGGTGGGAACGTTCCTCACCCACCAGCCCAGGAACCCGAGAGGAACGTTAGTCCTGCAGCCAAAGCCCCTGCAGCCAACGGGCTCCCGGATGGTCCTGGACAACCTGGATCGCCGGGTAAGAGCTGCCAGGGCAGGGCTGGGAAAGGCATCCAGCCTGTGGTTAAACTGGGAAATAGGGCAGTGGTTTCGGGAACGACAGAGAAATGACACCACGAGTGATCCCAGCTACTTGTGCCCCTGGAGAGAAACCATGGGGGGTTGTGAACCACCTGCCTGGAGTTTAGGAGCTTTCCTTAGTTGTAGAAGGGAGCAAAAGCTTGGATACCACCGCAGAGAGCCAACTGCAGAAGCTTCCAGTGACCCCAAATGCTTCACCGTTCCTCAGGCTCTCCTGTCTGCTGGCTGATGCACAGAGCTCCAGGTCCATCTCCTGCAGCTGAACTGCCAGCAGCAGCTGAGCTCCCCTGTTAGGTGATGCTGGAGCTGACCCTTTGGAAAGGCAATTCCACGATGAAAAGGACAGGGAGAAAGGAGGAATCCAGCTGGTGAGCCAGGTGGGATTCCCAAGGAGTTTTCACTGACCAAGTTTCTTGACCAAGATGCTGGATGAAGAGAACGTGGCATCTCCGACACCCCCATCGTGTCCTGGCTGCTCTGGGGGATCCCCCACCATGGGGAGATCCACCAACCCGAGGAGATCCACCAACCCCTCCACCAGGCTGGGAACACCCCAGCATTCCATCAACAGACACGTAGAAGAAATCCAACCACAATCATTTTCCACTTGTGAGGCTGCTGGGCCTGTTCCAGAGGCCAACCTGCCAGAGCCAGAAACCCCCTGGAGAGCCGATTCCCCCAGGACCAGCCTGCACAGGTGGAGTCACTTTAGAAACACTGAACGGGTGGGATCACCCCGGGGCTCCTGCACAGGACCAGCCCCTCTGCTCCGAGTCAGGGCAGAAGCTTCTTCTCCAAACTGCAAAGTGTCCCCTAGTGCCACTGTCACTAACCCTAGGGAGACTGATTCTGCAGACTGGGTCTGCCAACTACCTCAAGTGTCTTGTGAAGTGAGACCTGCCCGAGGGCAGGCAGAGCAACGGGAGCCTGGCAAGCCATGGGAGACGGGCTGGATGTGGCTCCAGTGTCCCCAGGGATCTCTTGAACCGT